AAAAAAAAAAAAAACTCCAAAGGTTGAAGCCAACTATAGTACTATCACCTCCATCTCATTTCACCTATGATAGAGCCTACATGCAAAAGCTATAGGATTTATCTCCCTAGGTGCATTTCTGAGGCTGTCAATCACCTACCCAAATTTTCTCTAACTCTCAAAACCTTCCTCAGTAATATCTCATTCAACCTGTTTTTCTGACTTTACCTCCAAAAATTCCTAAACTGAAAGCTCCCTAAAGCAATAATGCTGACGTTAATGCATGTAATAGATACCTAATAATGTTTGAAAAAAAGTAATCAAAATCTGTAGTGCTCCCTGCAAAAAGATGGACACCAGATTATCTTCAGTGGCATATCTCTCCCTTCATTTCTTTATAACACATTTTAATTATTAACACACAATTGTTCTAAAGACAGCAATCTGAAAACTGGTATTTAAGGACAATCACAAAAAGACAATGCCCTCTGTGATTAAAAGAAAGCCAATGAAAAAACATTTTCATTTCCCTATTTTGGTTATTTTAAAAATTCTTAGTCTTACTAACTTAGCAGCTGTAATGATATGGACTAAATATTTGCAACATAAAAACTATAATTAAAAAAAAAAGACAAAAGCAAATTCCTAGTAGGTAATACAAGAACATCAGACAAATTATTTTTTAAATATTTAACATAATAATCATTAACAAGGGTGGTGCCTATGACTCAAAAGGGTGGGGCGCCAGCCCCATATGCCAGAGGTGGCGGGTTCAAACCCAGCCCCAGCCAAAAACTGCAAAAAATAATAATAATAATAATAATAATACTCATTAACAAAACCTTCTGAATACTTTTCAGATATTTGCCCTACAATTGTTTTCATCCCTTAGTCTTCCAGTGGGTGAAAGCTCAATGTTCAAAGTTTACACACCCATTCATACAGAATATTTCCTTCTGAATACACTACTTAACTTATGATATTCTATGACATACTATCTTGGTAGGTAACTTGGATGAGGAAATTTACTGCTCATCATAAACATTACTCATGGCTATTTCTTAAATATTAACTTCTCTCTCTACTCTCAGACACTTAATGTCACTGACCCAACCTACTACAAAAGCTAGGGGAAAAATACAGGGCTCCAAATTAATGTATAAAAATTTAATTCAATAGCCAGGCGTTGTGGCGGGAGCCTGTGGTCCCAGCTACTTGGGAGGCTGAGGCAAGAGAATTGCCTAAGCCCAAGAGCTGTAGGTTGCTATGAGCTGTGATGCACTCTACTGAGGGCTACAAAGTTGAGACTCTGTCTCTAAAAAAATAATAATAATAAAATAAAAATTTAGTTCACATGTTAACTTTTCTGAAACACTACTTTTATGTGCAAGGACACAGACTCCTAAGGGATCTTGCAGCATAATCTAAACATGGATCTTTGAATAACCTAACAAAATTAAACCATGGTCATCATAAAGTCAATCAATTCGATTCTCCAGCTGTCTAAACAAACAGCCAACAAGATCAGCATTTAAAATTTATCTGAGGTCTGGATTTACCTTTCTCAACTTAAATGTACTCACAACAAATGCTTGCAGCCAAGCCATCACAACTCTCCTTAGCAGTGAAAATTCATGATCAAAAGAGAGCTTTCAGAACAGTATTTCACTTAGATTATAAAATCTACTGCAAAAATTTCCATAACTTTACTCTCTGAATTCACGAAATGGATGGAGGCAGGGAGTAACTTCCCTGAAAACCACAGGTATAAAGCACGACTGATAGTACCTCAATTGTTATTTGCTAAATTGCAGGGGTAAAGAGATCACTATACGACTGATGGAGCATAAAAGAAAAAAACATTTTTATTTGTTACAAAACTGGTCCATATTCTCAAAAAATGTGAGGATCCACATCCCAACAAGTTATAGACCATGATCTAAGACACAGGATGGAAGACAGAGATCTTAAATGCAGAATAAAATGCCAAAGTTGTGCCTCCCTAAAGAAACATACAACCCCATAGACTGCTGCACACCATCAAACTAACACCCGCCAGGGTGGATATTTTAAATATTCTATCAGGAAATCATGGTAAGTGCTAGCGGTTCCTCTAGGCCTCAGCAGCAGCCTTAAGGTATAAGAGCAAACTGGAGCCCTCTTAACTCTCAAAGAATCATGTTGATGTCATTATGAGGCTACTGATTCTTCGCACTCAGGACAAGTCATTCCCGATCCAAACGCAATTCTTCCCTCGCCCACTCCCACCGCCCCAAATAGAAGTCTCCATAGAGAAGCCCTCGTGCAGCCCCTCTCCTCTACCTCCAGCGGCTGCCGTTTTCTCCTCCCTCGGGCTCCGAGGTGGGGGCTCCAGAAGGTCCCGGGCAATTCCAAGCCCGGGCGGTGCTTGTTTTGCCTGTGCACGGTAGCGCTGGCCGGCCAATCCTCTCCCAGTTTGTCCAAACTGGAGAGCTGCGGGGTACCCCGGGGCCGAGGAGGGGGCCCGGGCGGCGACGTCGCCGCTGCCGCCGCCTCTGGTATGTCAGGGGCCGGGATTGTATTTCGAAAGATCCGCCATTTTCACCTCGTCATCACCATCACAGCTCAGCAGCTTCCCCGACAGCCGGAGCCCGGGCCGCCGCCGCCGCCGCCGCCAGTAACCTCCCTCTTCCTCCGCCCCCCCGCCCCGCCCGCCCCTCCCGAGAGGCGCACACCCACATATCCGGGGAAGCCTCCCGCCGCCCCGCCAACCTTCAAACGCGCACGGCGGGCACCGTGCACCGGCCGCGCCGGGACCTTTCACCCCGCACGAAACGCCAGCCCCGCGGCCCCGCAGCAGCGCCAGAGGAAGTCGCGCTACCTGCAGGGTCCCAAGTCCGGCAGATTTTTGTTTGGAGGAGCAAAAGCCACGCGGAAGATGGCATAAGGACAACAAAGAGCACAAACTCTTTCATTTTCAAGAAGCAACTTGAGAGATGGTGGAATGCGTTTCATTCACTGTGCCCATCTCAGGCACTCAAAACATTAAGACCCTCAGGTCATTCGCCCACGTTGACAGGTTGCTCCACCCGCAGAACTTCCTTGACAGGGTGAGCTATTTCCGTGGGCATATCTGACCTCTCTTAAATCTCTGTAAATTACAGGCACCCTTCCCCACGCTAGGAGGGTGGTAGGTGGTCAAAATACCTAATTTTTAAGGATAATGTTCTGAACTATTTTCCTCTCCACTTAATTTCACGTGATCATTTCTGTCCATGAACACTGTGACTTCCAATTTTTCTTTAAGACGTCAAAGCACAACTAGACTTAAAATGTATTGATCCAATTGTGGAAACATTCATAAATGATCATTTCCAAAATATAGAAAATAATGCTCTAAGCTAAAATTCTTTGCAAAGTGTTTTTAAGACCTAAGTCACCAAATTAAAAAACCCGTCTGTCGCTGGTGTAGTTTGTTCAATACAGTGGAAATAAAAAGACCCCAGAATTATCCACCCTTATCTGCTCCTCCAATTATTCAGTTTAATAAGTGACTAGAAATGAACGTAGGTATTTTTTAATCCTCTAAGAAATAAGAAAAGACAGGCTGCAAGGCTTCTGCAACCAACATTAAAAATAAAAAGTATAATGGCCACCTTTTGCTAATTTCATAAAAAGTAATAATAATCAACCATACAAAAGCTTTACTGTATACCATTCAACTACAATATAAGCTCTAAAAGACCTATCTAAAATAAGCCAATTGAATTTCAAAGTTGCGAATAGCTCCACTCTGCTGTCTTATTAAAAGTTAGTCTAAGAAGAGTGAGGTTGAAGTTGAAAAGCCATTTTATTTCCCTACCTTGTTTGAATGACAACTCCATATGAAAGCTGGTAGTTTGGGGCTTAAACGAAAGCTATGTAGCACCAAGCCCAATCTGTTTTTACATGTAGTCTGCTAGACGCCGAGAGTATAAACTGTTCCCAATTTCTTCCTCTTTAAACTTTATTTCCCCACCAGCAGTCCCGTTCACCCGCACTCTGCTTGGTTGTTTACCGTTGCTTGGCCAAGCTAAGTCCCAGCCCGCTCCCTTCCCCCGTGCACCTCGGGAACATTATGACATTTGGCTGGTGGGCTTCGCGAGGAAAACGGACACACACGAAGAAGAGTCCATACAAAGGGGTGTAGGAAGAACGCGACGGCGGGCAGGAGGGAAAGGAGGAGCTGGTACAAAATGACACAGCAGCAAAACCGGTTCCCAGAAACCCGGGGCCGACACGGCCGGCTTCTCGGCAGTGCTGCGTGCGTGTCAACAGCAGTGCGAGCCCTTCCTCCAGACCGCCGGCTAGTTGGCCGGCCGAGCGCTGGTCCTCTGGGTGACAGCCGCCCTCCCGGGTGCCGGCGGGAAGAGAAAGAGCCCGGAGGATCCTCAGTCCCCGCAACCCAAGGATGGGGCTCTGCGGCCCCAGCCGGCAGCTTCCCGCTCCCCGCCACGGCGCGCCGGCCTGGGCTCCCGGAGGGAGCGGTCTGGCGCCCTCCGCCCGCGCCGCCCGCGCCCCCTTCCCATTTGCCCCGCCAGAAGCCTTCATCCCGGGAGCTGACACTCACCAAACCAGGCGGCGCCGCCGCCTACTCCTCGCGCAGCGCTCCCTGGGCGGCTGCGGCGGCGGCGCCTCGGAGACACAGACCAGGGTTTGTTCAAAATCACGCGCCCAGCGCCATTCCACCGCCGCATCCCATAATACGCCGGGCCCTCCCCGCCCGCGCGCCCCTCTCGCCCGCCCCTCTCGCGCGTCCCTCCACTCCGCCCGCCCCGCCTCCCGGGCCGGCTTCCTTCGCCCCGCCCCTTCCGCGGCGCCTTGCTCCTCCCCCTGGCAACCCGAGCTCGCGTCATCTCGCAAGGCTCTGGGAGTGTGCTTCGGCTCCACGTGACTCCTAGCGGGCGCCCTGTCAAAGCTTTCGCACGGAATGTTCCATCGCCCAGACGCGGTTGGGCGGGGGAGACCCGATCCCGCCTGCAGTTGAAAGAGACTGCCCCCTTGTCTAGCTTTCCTTGTTAGGAAGTCGGGGCTGTAGGTGAGATTTCCAGCACCCTCCCTCCCTTTGATGTGTTCGAATGAGCTGGTGATCAATATTCACAAATTACAAATCTCTTTTTAGGCACTAATTTTGCAAAGGTCGCTAAAAATCCGCCGGTTGCTCACTCAGTTAAACTTATTTTGAGAAGGACATTTTGCTTTCCTGGACATTTGCTTTCCATTTTGCTTTCCTGGATACAGCTAACACCAACACAATCAGAATTCTTTGAATGTAGTTACCTTTTCCTTCTTTGATTTTTCCCGCTTTTTATAAAAGATCCAAATGTGGAGTCGAGCTCGGTGTGAGTCAAGAACTTGCACAGATGAAACAATAGAAAATACAGAAGAGTGTAAATGTAAAATGCTGTGGTACGGTCTATAACTGCTAACTGAGCGCCGAGGACAGGCAGGTTAACGTGAGAGACAACTGGTAAATACTGAGCAATGTAGTGGAAGCAGCAATCACTTTGGAACCTCCGCTTATTAGGGTATAACGTCAAAGTTTCTTTTCCCATATGTAAAATAAAAACAGCAAACTTCCCAGGATCCTAAAGGTTAAATACATGTGAAATGAGCAGCTATCCTACACAGCCAGCGTCTCTAATGTTACTTCTATTGTGGCACATTCACCACCACCCCATACCTCCCAGCCCAAACTCAATGGTTAGGCTTTAGCAAGGCAGGTGGCATGAAATCGGCAAAGGCTTGGAAGTGGGAAGATCTGTGGCATGTGCAAGGAACGTGAGAAACTGAAAGATACACGTATTTTGTTGGGGATCAGTGATGGAGCCCAGGTTATAAGGAGTCTTGAGCACTTGTGATAGATAAATCCTCATGGTCAAATAATTGGTGGTAAGGTGGGGTACCTGGGGAAGCAAGAAGGGAGTGTGATGGGGTACCTGAACCTGACTGGATTTTAGGGAGACAAAGAATCCACAAACAAGGTGAGACATTGTCTCAGTTTATTGCAGAAGGCTAACATAACTCGGATACCAAAATCCAAGACAAATAGCAAAAAAAAAAAAAAAGAAAAGAAAGAAAGGAAAATCTAGGCCAGGCGTGATGTGGCCTAGATCACCCCTGTAATCCCAGCACTCTGGGAGGTTGAGGTGGGTGGATTGCTTGATCTCAGGAATTGGAGACCATCTTGAGCAAGAGTGAGACCCCCATCTCTAAAAACAGCCAGGCAATGTGGTCTTATAGTCCCAGCTACTAGAGAAGCTGAGGCAAGAGGATGGCTTGAGCCTGAGTTTGAGGTTACTGTGAGCTATGACACTAGAGCACTCTACCCAGAGCAACAAAGTAAGAATCTGTCCCAAAATAAATAAAAAAGGAAAATCTTCCATTCTCACTATGATTTTATTACAAAGACAAAAACTGGGTATTAAGATGTTATTAAAGCCAACAGTTTGGTAGTAAAAAGAATTCACATCATGACCAAGTACAACTTACTCCAACACTGATGGTTTAACATTAAGAAATCTGGATGGTGCCTGTGGCTCAGTAAGTATATGGCACCGGCCCCATATACCGAGGATGGTGGGTTCAAACCCAGCCCTGGCCAAACTGCAGCAAAAAATAGCCAGGTGTTGTGACGGGCGCCTGTAATCCCAGCTACTTGGGAGGCTGAGGTGGGAGAATCACCTAAGCCCAGGAGTTGGAGAGTGCTGTGAGCTGTGACTTCACAGCACTCTACCACGGGCAATAAAGTGAGACTCTGTCTCTAAAAAAAAAAAATAAATAAAAATAAAAAAAATGAAGAAACCTAATCATGTAATTTATTAAAAGAGAAAAATAAAATTATATTCTCTGCAGGGTGTCCTAAAAGGTTGCCCATAACATTACCATACATACAGAAACTGGGAAATTGTAACTAAATGTACCTTTATTTACAAAATACTCATTACAAAATTTTATACAATATTCTCTACCTGGTGACCAACTTGTCTCCTCATGTGTGGCAATGTTATGGGTGACCTCTAAGACGTCCTAGATACGTTGCATATAAATCAATTCATTCTGAATTTTAAAAATTCTTAATAAACTAGAGGCTTGGCGCCTGTAGCTCAAGTGGCTAAGGCGCCAGCCACATACACCTAAGGTGGCAGGTTCGAATCCAGCCTCGGCGCGCCAAACAACAATGATGGCTGCAACAACAACAGCAACAAAAAAAATAGGCAGGTGTTGTGGCGGGCACCTGTGGTCCAGCTACTTGGGAGGCGGAGGCAGGAGACTCGCTT